TTCCTTCCTTCCTTCCTTCCTTCCTTCCTTCCTTCCTTCCTTCCTTCCTTCCCAACAGAAAAATGGTCCTTTCAAAACTGGACAGCTTTTTGGCATCTCAGTTCTGCAGGAGTTCTTGCTTGCCTTCCTAGAAACCATAGCACTGCCTCAGCTGTTTCCTTACTTAATTTTTTCTATCATTCTTTCTCCAGTATAATGTTGAGTGCCAACTTGACCTAATCCCAGTATCAAAGACAGCCCTCCATCTAAGAAGTTCATGCTGATTAACAACGAATAAGATCTTGATGAAGTGCTTCTGAGAATGAGAGAGCTTGATGTGTCTTCCTTGCCCCCAGTGGCTTGAAAGAAATATACTCCCCAAAAGTAGCTGAACTCACATTTCTTCTTTCATCCCACGCTCATGGTTTGGGGCAAGATCTCAACATGCCCAAGGAGCAATGACAGTTAAAGGATTTCCTTTCTAAGGAAAGGAAAAATAATTTATACCATTGGGTTTTTCACTTAAGTAGCAGAGAATGAGGACTAGCTGCAAAATTTGCAAGGCAGTAGATAGAACAATAAAATGCATTCCCTATTCATTCAAGAAAAAAAGGAGCTAGAGTTATTTCTAAGAGATTGAAAGAAGTATGGCAGAAGAAATGAGAGAGGAAGTAGAGACTGAAACCCATCTAAGAATGGCAGGTTAAAACCTTAAACTAATTATGGGCTCAGAGGAAAGGCAATGCAGAAAAATGGCATATAATTAGAATTATCAGCTATTTCATACATACCTTCTTTCTGGCAGATTTCCTTTGCTTTTAGCAACAATATGGCATTCAGAAATGCCAACCAGTGAAATTTCCCCAAATGTTCCTGAAATGCACTAATTTATTAGACAAACACCAAAGACAGCTAACTTATTTTTTAAAAAATATGGAACAGCTAGTTTTAAACCTTGCATGTGACTTCTGATAGGGAGTAGAGAATTCCAGACTTGAAAATGACAAAATGAAATTCTTTTAGAGACTACAGCATTCATAGAGTTTCCCCATTCCTTGAAGAAACGAAGAGGTTGGGAGCCTTTGCATCCACGTGGGGAGATTTTATACCATCTACTATTACATGCTGATTATGACTTCCCTTTTCCTTGTATGCTGCCTCCTACCATCTTAGCATGATTAATCTTATCCAAAGAGAGCAGAAAATGAAAGTTGAAATCCTCATGTCCATTTAACTTACTTACAAGGTGTCCAATAGATGGGTGTAACTGTCCTGTCTGTCCCTATATAATCACTTCCCCAGCAGTCTGAAGCTTTCTTGGCTTGAGTCACTAAAGATCCTGAGGATATTCTTACCGCTGAGTTTTTTGAGAGCAGGAAACGCTGCAGCCAAGGAAGACGGCGTAATGATGGAGAAGACATGCACAACACCACCACAAAAACTAACCACTGCCCCACAAATGGAAAGAAATTCTAAATCAGCTTGAGAAAGAAGTAGAAAAACAGAAGCTTCTTTTACCCAGAATAAACTTTTGAGGAATTTGGAAGAGTGGTTTTTATGCAGCATTGCAGTATTTCCAATTAGTTTCTACCTCCCTCTCCTCTAGTTCAAGGCGGGGAAACCTCAGAGATTCGGGGCTTCCAATAAGATCAAGGAGCAGGGATGATGAGTTATAGCCCCCTCCCTGTTTGGCTATGCACTAGCGATTCAAACCATTCCTTCTAGTTCAGGCTTGCAATTCTAGAAGTACTGCAAGGTCCATCAACTGGAGCCAGAAGCAAAACAGTAGCTCAGAATGTTTAACATCCAGAATTAAAAATGCCTTCCTTATGCTCACTTCAGAAATATATTTATAGTAGAAAAGATGGGTGATTTTGCCAATTCTGTTTTTCCCTAATTTTTCAGCTTACCAACCATGAGTTCTATCTGGCCATGCTATCTGCAAATTGGGCAGAAAAACTGCATAAATATTTGCACAGAAAAAAATGCATTTTTGTGTATACTTCGATATCCATGATTTTGCATATATTTTCTGTAAGGCATCCATTTTAAAAAAGTTTCTTCCACAAAAAGTGCAGATTGGTGCAGATGTTTGCTATAGATTCTCCTCAAATTCATGAGTTGATGTCATGAAATTCAGTCTCCTGCTTCTGCTATAAATACAGTTGTTCCTAACCGATATAAAAGTATGCTAAAATGCATAGTTTGTGGAGGGAAATGCATAGAAATGCATAGGTAAATATGCACACACATATTGCTAAAAAAAAAAACTTAATTTAGACTAATGCATGTCTGGGCTGAGCAGATGCAGAGGTGATAGAAAAGGAACCGAAAGGAAAATGATTCACCCATAATCTCTTTCTCCAAGTCTAAACAGCAATTCTTAGGTCACATATTTTGGGGTTCCATCTCTTTAAAATGGAGATAACTCAGGAAAATATGATACAGCCTTCTAGATAGTTTGCATTTCAAAGATGCACTTATAAAAGGAAATGTATTATGGATCTGAATATTAATAATAATATTAATAACAACAAAACCAATATCAATTACAATGAAACATTATGAAGTTAAAACAGGAGTGACAAAAGACAAAATTATCAGGACCAGGAATGTCTTGAAATATTTTATTTCTGTATTTTTTAATAACAATATAGGATAGTTCCATAATAGCTCAGTATTAAACAAAAATATGCAGTTTTTCCAAATCAAGCATTTAGTATGCAAACAATCCCCTAAAAACTGGGTGAGTGGATACAATCAAATCGGGTGATAATGTTTATAGGATCACAAGGAATCCTAGCCATGATTTTAAGAAGAAGAAAAAAAGAACTCTAAGAGGTTGTATATAAAAGTTCTTTCTTAGCGGGTTAATTCCACACTGATCTTTTCAATTAATTATTACTGCTTCCTATCAAAACATCAAGTTCCCTTATGAATGTGGTTGGGTGGTTGTTTGTGTTGAGACGGCAGATTCTGTGGGGTGGTAAACACTGTAATCATCTTCCCTAGTAACATGCAATTTCCATGGAAAGATGTTTTTCTGAAAAGGCCAGCTTCTGCCCTGCATCACCATAAGTGCAACATCCTCGTCAGAGAGCAGACGGATCAGATCACCTTCAGCATCACGGTAATTCAGAGCAATATCATTCCGCTCAAATCCACGCCTGAGAAAAAAAGAAGATATTCATTGTAAGACCAGAATCACACCAGGAAGAATGTGCCAAAACACATTTCCACTTTCCTGTCTGGAAGTGTGTCCCACACTGGCATATACACAGTCTCTCACCTGTTTCTTGCTGTCGATGCCAAAGATAGACTCAGCTAGTTATCAGCAACAGGTAAACAATGATCAGGTTAGCCACTGCAATATCATTCAAGAAACCCTGATCTTGTCTGGGGATGCTTTCTTGGTTAATGTTAAAATGCCACGCCAGAGAGGCAGGAAAATGACATGATCAGATATGCCATTCAAAAACTGAGATGCACATGGAATATTCAGCTGCTGATTTGATTTGGATCTGTCACAGAACTTCACAATCTCAAAAGGCAAGTCAGGGAATGGCTTGCTGAGAAATACACCCATATCCATGTCTCCTTGCATGAGAAAAACCTGCATGGTGGGATAGAGGCTACCTTCAACCTGCTGTGTTAGCTTTCTATTGTAAAGGAGCAAGAAGCCAATTCCAACAATGCCAAGAGTATATGGTTGCCCCAGCAAGGAAGCTGATAGACTGATGTAGAATGAGGTTTAAGAGAAAATGTGAGCTCACGTCCAATTTCACCTGTCAGTGTCCTTGCACACTGGGAAATCCAAACATTTCTGGGTGTCTGGACCACTTGGAAATGAATAAACAATGTGAACAGAAAGGAGGAGAACTTAGATTCTAGTGGGGGAGAAATGAATTATTTTCTGATACAATGAAGGGATTAGGGGCTCTTTTTGGGGAACGTTATTGAGAAGGTGGCACCCTACAGCTTCAGAGGATCCTGGAGGAAGTGGATTATCTAGACCCCTTTCAGCCAGTTTTCAGGCCAGCTCATAGTCCTGAGATGGCTTTGGTCACACTGGTGGATGACCTTTGAAGGGCTTGGGATGATGGTAGTGCATCCATCCTGGCCTTCCTAGACACATGAGCTCCTTTTAGTACTATTAGTCATGATATCCTTCTGGTTTAGGGCATTGGGAGTGGGGGACACTGTTCCTTGGTTCTTTTCCTTCCTCTAAGGCTAGTTCCAGTCGGTGTTGGTGGGGGAAATGGATATAGCTGGAGACCTCTACTTTACAGGATATCTTAGTGTTCTACCTTGTCCTCCCTTCTTTTTAACATCTCCATGAAGTAGAAGTCATCCATCAGCATGGGGTGCAGTATCATCAATATGCTAATGATACTCATTTGTACATTTTTTCTCCAGCCATCCTGGAGAAGCTGTCAGGAGGCTGGAGGTTGTAGAGGCCTGAATGAGGAAGAATAGGCTTTTAAGTCAACCCTACCAAGACTGAGTGGCTGTAAGCTTTGGGCCCCTTGGGTCCCAGAATTGGAGAGTTTCATCCTTGATTCTGAACAGGATAGCTTTGCTCTGCTCAGCCTTAATGCACAGTTTGGGAGTTCTCCTGGATTCAAAGCCCTGTCTGAGGAGCACGTGGCAGCTGTGGCTTGAGGAACCTATGCACAACTTCAGCTTCTGTGCCAATTGTACCCCTTCCTGGATCTATGTCTCACCTCCCAATTGTATTATCGCAATGCACTCTATGTGAGGCTGCTCTTGAAGACTATCCAGAAGCTACAATTGGTCCAGAATGCAGTGGTGCTAGAGGTTATGGATGCTTATGCCTATATGATACCACTGATTATGCCTATATGATACCACTATTCCACAAGCTGCACTGGCTTGCAATTGTCTTCTGGGTGCAATTCAAAGTTATCATCCTTAAAGCTCAACATGGCATAGGATCAGCTTAATTATGAGACTGCCTTCTCCCTAGGCTATCTGCCTGCCCACATGCTCAGATAAGGCACACTTCGGGTCCCTTCACTGAAACACTACCATCTGGTGGGACCCAGGAGGTGCACCTTCTCAGTGGCAGCCCCTACCTTATGGAATGCCATTCCACCTGACCCTGCTGTCTTTTAGAAAGACTGTCAAGACCCAGATCTTTCTCCAGGCATTTACATTGTGTTGCGTTAGAGCCCCAGTTGGAATGATGGTGTCATGTCTCTTTGGATTTTATTATTTTATTGTTGTTAGTCAGTTTACATATTGTGGTTTTGTACCTCTTTTGTTAGGTTCTGGTGAATTTCCTATAAGCTGCCCAGAGTCACTTTGCTTCAGTTGGGTGACCATATAAATGTTTTAAATAAATAAATATGGGGTCCTTTTTGTTTAAAAAAAGCCAGGGCAAATATTTGTTTGATAAAGCCCTAGTCCTTGGATCTGTTTGTGTACAATGTGGGGGGGGGGAGATGAGGGGAAGGGCAGGAAAAAAGAACTGATCTGGTCACTCCTCTCCCTCCCCCAATTTCATCCAGCAAGCTGTGAAAGAGCCTGCCGTGAAATTGACTAGACAGGGGGGAAATCTAATCACACTCTGGAAATTGGAAACAAATCTGAGCGGGGGATGTCTCTGGCTGAGATCTCACTGCAGATTCTCTTATGCTCCCTTCCTGCACTCATCTGTGGTTTCAGCCTCTCCAGCCACCTGAAGCACATTGAGTGAGCAAAGATGGAGGAGAAAATGGTGACTACTCCAGGTTCCCAAAAAGTTCTGATCCAGAACTGCGGAAAGAGGGAGAGACAGAGATGTCCTTACCAGGGTGGGACAGTTTAAAAAACAAAATACAGGTTAGCGCTGTTCCCAGATAGCATTATTCCAAAGTAGCACTATTCCAGATTAGCATTATTTTAGAATGGCACGATTCTGGAATAACACTAAACCCACATCCAAAAGGAACCTGGCTCTCAGCTGAACACAACAACACAAACAATTTGCACAAAACCAGAGCAATGTTTGACAAAATGCATCTCTTTCCACAGTTAGGAAAGCAATTGGCAGATATCTCTCCTCAGCTGATGACATTTGGTGGGAGAACAAATGAACGCAGTGTGGTTTACCAATATTGCCAGTACTTGTTCAGCATTAAGACTATAAGAATGGCATCACTGCCTGAGGCAGAACAGGGATTACCAATTGCCAACATACTTTTCTGCTTTAATGTGGCTGTGAGGAACAACCCTAACATTAGATCCAGGAACCATTGCTGAGAAGAAACAGCTTAAAAAACCAGCTAAAAACAGCATAAAAGTCTGCTGCTCAGTCAAGGAATCAGTCCAAGCAGGAATATTTTATAGCCCTTCCTATAGCCAACACAACTAGGTAAGGACAAGCTCTGGTCTGTGAATGTTTCTATTCTCATTTCATAAGAATATGGATCTGGAATCCGGAATCTCATTAGTTATCCATATCCAGTGTTTTCCTGCACTCCAAAATAAGTTGCTGCTTATAGCAAGCATAAGCTAAAGAAATTAACTCAAACTGTGGAAGAAAAGCAAAGGAAGATCCTGTCAGTTCAAAGCAGATGTTGGCTGCAGAAAAAACGAGGTGGTAAAAGGGTGGATAATTGTAAGAAATATAAAGAACAACATGGTAAGAAGAGCTTGTAGCTTAGCTGGTACAAAGCACTGTTGATCCCTTGTGGTCACATCTCAATATTGGAGGCTCCTAGAACCTTTGGATCAGGTTGCATCTAGGCTTGGCTACCCATCAAAGGATTTTAGGATTTATGTGGCTGTGATGAGGATTGGTCACATCTGGCACTATACATGGGAACTTTATGCTGGACAGGATAGATTAGAGCAGTGTTGTCCAAACTTGGCCACTTTAAGATGAGTGGACAATAACACATGGCTGGCTGGGAATTCTGGGAGTTGAAGTCCACTCATCTTAAAGTGGCCAAATTTGGACAACACTGGATTAGAGGGTCTGGAGTGATATGTAGTTTAGTAGGCAGTGGGAGGCAAAACAGTTTTATTGTCAGGTTGAGGCCCCAAACATTACTTTGAAATCTATACAGGGCAACCTCACAGGAAACAGTTCTAAACCCAAATGGCACTGGAGGAGAACAAGCTGAGGAGGAAGCCAAAGGCCTTGCCCAAACCTGAAGTCTGGTGTCTCATCAGAGGATGCAGAGTGAGAACATAAGAAAGGAACTTCCACATTCTCAAACTTTGTCTATATATAGCAAGACAGAAGTGCTCATGCAAGCACCTGAGTTCTTGGCTAATTTTTAGACCCATCCTCTTCATGGCTTCAGGGACAAAACAGCTGAGTGCATGTAGGATTCATGGCTGTCAATGAAATGCCCAGATAACTATATATATGCAAATAGTTGCCCAGATCGAAGCTTAACTTACAATAAGGCAAGGTATAGAACCTCTGGCTCCTACACAGACACACAGATGGAACTGCATCATTGCTGAAACAAGTTTTTCATTAAAGCTCCAATTTTCCTGAAGTAGGAAAATTGTACCATAACATACGGGTAACATCACCAGTGCTATCTGTTTAAAGTTAATCACGTTCCTACAGATGACCTGGCTAGACAGTTTTATATTTTATTATAGCTAAGGTCCTTAAAAGGGGCTTGCAGAAGGCCAACTATATAGTTAAAACTGAAGGGGGGAAAATATACACCACCCTGAGATTATTGAGGGACAGTAAGAAATTAAAGATAAATAAATAACAAATAACTACTGTCAACTCAGTAATCAAATGATGCATATATGTGCTGGATACCATATGCATCCTTTCCTTTATGAACAACAAAAGCCATGTTTGATTTGGCTCTGAGGATGCATCTGTGAATTTGTACTTCTTCAATCCACAGCCTTTTTATTCTTTTTACATTTTTACGTTTTGCTGTCTATGGACAACATTCACCGTGCGATTGGTATGCAGCACATATATGCATCATTTGATTACTGAGTTGACAGTAGTTATTTGTTATTTATTTATCTTTAATTTCTTACTGTCCCTCAATAATCTCAGGGTGGTGTACATCTTTCCCCCTTCAGTTTTAACTATATAGTTGGCCTTCTGCAAGTCCCTTTTAAGGACCTTAGCTATAATAAAATATAAAAATTAAAATGACAACACATTAAAACAACATAAGACAAAAATAGTGAGACTTAATCCAAATATTTTTCAATGTTTTAAAAATTAGCAAGATTACTCTTGATGCTGTGGCCAAATGGCCCTCCTGCCTCTCACTTTGCTTCTGACAATAGTTCTAATTAATAGATTAAGATGAGAGATGAGGAATTGCTAAAAAGAGTTTCCAACCCAGGTTCTTTTAGTCCAAAGCTACCTAGCACTTTTTCCACTATACTCCACTGGCTAGTATAATCTTAACATTTAATGCATAATCTTAACCTTTTAGATTTTGAAGACAAGAAATTGAAGAAGAGCCTTCTACAAGGGCCAGAAAAATTGGTGAACTCATATTCTTAACAGAAAATCTAAAGACAGAAAGTTGTAGGCAGGCCTCTTGCATGAAGCTCAGTTAGTAAGCACAGAAAGAGATGATCAGACAGCAATAAATACATCTATTTTGAGCCGTCTCAATCATTCTGAGAAAGAGAAGGGAGAGAGGAGGAGGAGGAGGAGGAGGAGGCTTATTAATTTATCTTTTAATGAGATACTAAATTTGAAATTTCAGATGGAATACAAATAAGGACATTGGTATAAGGTAAATGTGAGAACTATAGATGCTACAGTAATAGCCATGTGAGACTACCTTACACTAGAAACCTTACTGAATGGCAAATTAAAGACAGTACACTCTATTAAAAGTTTTAAAGGATAATGGCATGTCAACACTCAATGTTTTAGAAGAAGGAAAAATGCAGAACTCTCAATTATTCTGTATTAGGGATTATGGAAATAATTTAAGAAGAAACAACACCAAACCTCTTCTGCCATCATTGCAGAGAGCATCTGGAATCTTAACCAAACATAAGAATGCAAATATTTGGGGATATCCAGTTAGCTGGTTCACCCGCTTATACTTTTACCTGATTAATTCCATTAACTCTTGGAACAATGGGATGCTGCTCAAGTCCTCTTCCACTGATATGTCCCTAAAGAGGGGGGAAAAAAATTAGAGTACAAAAAAGTGAAAACTTAAATATATACACGTAGCACTTTTGTCCACTAAGAACAGCATAAGCATAACATGTTGAAATAGCTGCATTTGGGGACCATTCAGACAGAAGTAACAATCAGCACAGAATCATATCTCTAGTCCCACGGTGTTTAATACCAACCACATTTTCAGTTTCAGTTCTAAGTAATTCAGTGTTTATGGAAGTGTAGTTGTGAAATGATTTCACCAGTATTCATTTAAAACAGGAAGTTTTTGGCTGTGCATCAAGGAGTTAAAATAGAGATGAATAGGGGGCTAGCTTTCTCCAGCCAGGGTGCCTTCCAGAAGTGTGGCTGTTGACTCCCAGAATTTCCCAGCCAACATGTCCTATTATGAGAATTCTAGGAGAATTCTAGGAGTTAGGTCACACATTTGTCCACTGACCCTACACTTTGCTCTAAAACCCTATCACCACAATACTTTTCAACTAATGTATAAAGTAGACCCCAAACCTACAAATCAGTTAAAAAAAAAAAAGCAATGTATCTTCAAGAAGGAGGATTAAGAATGGGGAACTTCTGGGGAATAAATGGCAAACTGAAGATGGCACTGCCAAAATGACCGCAGTGGAATGAAGAGCCAGCAAGTAGACTGGCTCTTCATAATTTCTGTCTGGTCAAGAAGAGGACTTGAGAATACCCACAAGTATTTCATATAGTTGCTCCTTGTTAGAACACTGCAAGATAGTGGTCTCCTGTGAGTTTAGAGCTCTGGAAAACAAGGAATAGACATCTTTTTGCTCAAACCACAGCCAGCACCTTTGAAAGGACACTGGGTTCGCATACTTCTTTTTCTAATCACTTTCAGAAATTGCTTTTTAACTGCTTTTCAGCTATTAGGAACTTTTGGATCGACAAACTTTATAGCTCCAGGTGAGTTTCCTTCAATCTTTAGTGAAAAAAGTTTTAAATACAAGTTTAAGGACTTAAAAAGTTATTTATGAATAAACAGAAAAAGGGTGATTAGAACTTTGATTTTGGAAAGTTACTAATGGGCTGAGGGTCTAGATGGATTTGAAATAAGATTTTGAAATTAATTATAAGAATCCTTCCCATGGGAAAATACTTTTGTTTTGATTTTTTTTTTTTAAATGATAGGATGAAACTTTGAAGGTTGGACAGTAGAGGGAACCAGAAGGAACTAAAGATTACAATTAAAGAAGAAGAACACTTAGATGTGACTATTAATAGAGAATGGAGCAAAGTATTTTAACACTGAATATATTGAAGGATATTTTTGAACAATGGACTCAAAAGTTAATTTTAAGAGTGGCTGCCCCTATAGATAGTCTGTGTTTAAAAGATGTTATGGAAGAGGAACAAGTTTTACCAGACAAGATTGAGAGTGATCTGAAAGTGGATTTAAAAATGACAGGCTACATGAATGTTATGGAAAAAGATGCTACACTGGGCATACAAATGAAACCATCTGATTTCTTAATAATTAAAATGGATAACTTTCTTATACTGGATTTACAAAAAAGGCTTGTTAAAGCTCTGAAGAATGAGAAGAGACAAAGAAAAAAATGAAAAGAAATCAAGTTCTAGGACATTATTTGAAGGGACTAAAGATCAAGATTGTTGAAAGTAAAAAAGAAGGAATATAAAGTTGGATTATTTGATCGAGGTTAAAATAGATATGTTGTTTTCTCTAGTAACCCTTAATGATCAGGACTGAACGACGAGGCTTTAGGGACTTGTTTATAGATAAGAGATGGGATATAGGAAGAAGAGGAGATAATTTCTTCTGTCTTAAGAGAAGGTGGTAATTTATCAAAATTGTTTATACTTGTGATGAAGGGGGAAGTAATTTCTTTATATATTTCTTTTCTTTTT